ATTTTCACATTAACTGTGTATTGTTCGTCTGATTTGTAGCATAAACTGTTCATAAAAGTAGGACATGACCAGTAACTCCTTGAGAAGCCTCAACTCTAGCGTTTTAGCCATGACCACTAGTAACCCTGTTTAGCACCTTGGTTCACTCACAGACAGAAGCTGGTTATTAGTGCCAAATAATGTAAAATACTAGTACTTTACTCATAGAAATTTGAGAAACTTCTTGGACGTGCTGTTAGTAAAATGAGCTACATAGCGCAGGCCATGTTGTTTTAATTCCATGAAAACGGACCAACGCCTCAAACACATTTCACTGTCAAATTAGCAGAGGAGAGGGCTAGCACACAGCTACAGTCTCTGTTGGCATAAATATAAAAACTTTCAGTCTTTAAAAAAATGTAAACGTGAGTTTTTAAGGAGAAGACACACTGTTAGGTTTTTGACACTGTCCCCTTACAGCAACAAGGTCCTGGGTTTGTATCCAGCCTGGAGCCTTTCTCCCTGTGTCCGTATGACCTTCCTCGTGGGTACTCCAGCTTCCTCCCATATTCCAAACACATGCATGGGGTTAGGTTACTCTGTGGTTCTACACTGCCCATAGGTGTGTGTGTGAATAGTTATCTATCTCTCTGTATTAACCCTGAGACAGACTGGTGACCTGTCCAGGGTGTAACCTGCATCTCACCCCTTGACAGCTGGGATGGGCTCCAGCACCCCTGCAACCCTGAATCAGATAAGCAGAAGAAAAATGGAAAAACATGTTGAAATTAAAACTACTTTTGCTCAGAAGTTTGACATCCCAGCACGACAGTCAAGAGGGTTTGATTTCCCCGGGGGCTTTTGGAGGGACCCTCAGGCGGCCAGTGGAGGAACTGCTGTTTACTGGTTTGGAGTGCTCTGTTCAAATGGATCGTCACATTTTTCTATTGGCCTGTTTCTGTCCACCTTAACCGGTCTGATTGGGAATGATCAGCAATTGTTTACTTGTGCTTCAGTGTGGTAAAACCCTCTATTTATTCCGTCTAGAGCTCTGCATTTACCCTTTCCACCTTTACAAGTATTGTTTTCCTTCGTAGTGGAGGAAAACACGAGTGTCCATGTCACGAACAGGTCCTTCTGTTTGCAATCAGAGGTGCAACACATCTGAGTGTCAGTGATGATTCAAGATCACATTGATTCATCAGTGCCTGAAAGCTCAATTTGCTGCATACCTTGGAGGGATACAGGAAATGAGTCACTGAGGAAGTGATTTTTTTTTTACCCAAGACCTAATAACAGTTTGGTGGTTGTTTGCTCCTGTTGTCATGGAAATGCTGCTGTCACTCGTATTTGAATAATGATGAGTTTTGATGAAGCGGTTGTTGAAGTTTCGAACTTTTACACAGCGCAGACAATTTCAAGCTAACACTTTGTAATCTTAACACACGTGTGTATATCCAGTTTATATCCGTGTCAGCGGATGTGCTCGGAACACCCCGACATCTCCTTTTCCCCTCCTCACTAGAAGCCCACACGGACTGCTAAATCACCACCTGCTGATGCCTCATAACAATAAGACGGGGGGCCGGGGGGGTGAGTGGAGCTGAAGAACAGCCTGCAAAGGGTTTTATATTTATAATTAATCAAGTTTGTTGACTAAAACATGGAAATAAACCATCTCGTGCGAGTGATGGATCTGTTGTTGCTTTCAGCGTGTAGTAGCAGGCCCACGCTAAAAAGGATGAATGAGCTTAAGACAAAAGCACACGAGCATGGATTTAAAGGATCATTTTTGTTGCTGTTTGTAATGTGCTGCTGTATCTGTTTTGTTTTTTGTAAGGCAGACGGCATCATAATTTTCCTTTTGATTTGATTGTGCACTTTTAACTGCTTTAAATTCACATCTCTAATGATTTAAGTGCTGATAGTAATACTGATTAACTGTTGGTTTTTCTGTTGTGCACAGTGGCCCTTAATTGTAGCCCTGGTGATATTTTTTATAGCAACAAACAGTTTGTCCTCATGATGGGGTTTTTTTTGTTTCATTTTGGGATTTTGTTTTGTTTGAGTTTTTTTTGCTCTCTTTGTTTTTAAATGTGTTGTTGTTGCTGGTGGAAGTTAATTTTGTAATGTGGAATTTCAGCTATAGCATTTTACAAAATGTTGTTTTTGGATTCCTTAGAAACCAAATGAGGTTGTTGTGGTCATATGAACAGTTGCTTGATTCCGTGTTAGTTACAGCTGCCTTTAATTTCCAAGGAAATAGCAAAGACAACAGTTTATTGCTCTGCTATCATAATCCTTACGACACACCATGAGCGATCTGATTAGGTAAGGAAATCTAAAAATGACAAATGTTTCTCTTGAAGTTGCTTGCTGATTATGAATCATTTGTCACAGATTTGATCAACTGTGCTTCCAAAGTGAAGATGACTGTGAAGGTGAGATGCTGTGTTTGAAGATCAAAACCCATTTGGAGGAGCTCTTCTCTGACAGCCACCTGGCAGAGGATGGCTTCCTGCTCAAACATGTGCAGAAGAACAAGCAGGGTTTCGTCAGTCTCAAGCTTCTCACTTCTTTGAAAAAGGTACAAAACACAAAAAAACATTTTGGTGTGCTTTCTGTGGTGTTTACATTCCAGCAGTTTGAATGAAAACAATCCAGTAAAATACGAACAAAGCTGAGGTTGCCCGTGTTTGCCGCAGATAAGGACCCTGACCAAAAACTGGTACATGACTCTGGTGGGAGCATTGTACTCAGACCTTCTGGAGGTGAATGATGAGTCCACCAAAGTGAGGCGCATAGAGCCGCTTCCCAAATGGCTGATGTGTTCTCCCACCAGCAAGCACCTCCTCGCTTGGAACTTTTCCAAGGAGCAAAGCAGTGACGACGGTGCAGTCCGAGGCCCGGAGCCCGCTGCGCTCTCCGAGAATGTGCTCCAAAAGTTCAGCATTTACGGCAGAGTTACTTCATTCCAGATTGTGCCACCTGGAAGGGAGCTTCCCGCAGACATGCAGTGCTACGGGAAACGTCACAAGGAGCTTGGCCAGCACTTATGTGCGGTGATCAAGTTTGACAGTTTAGAGACCGTTCGTAAGGCCTACAGTGCCCTGAAAGCAGAAGAGGAGAAGTCTAATGGGAAGGGCATGTGTGTTGTACCTATGGGATTCCAGTCAATACATCACTTCACTGAGGATGAATCCCCAGAAGAAGCAAGCCAAATCCTTCCCGAGAAGGAGGAAAATCCACCTGAAATCCCAGAGAACTTAGTCCAGCAGGAGAATTCTTCACCCACTGCGTTTTTTGACGAACCTCCAGAAACACATCAGCCAAACGCGTCCACGGATAACCCTGCACCGCAGAATGTTGACCCGATTTCCAGCAGCTGCAATGGCCAGTCCTTCCCTGGTTGGAATCATAGTGACAGTAGGATGACGTGGAACTCTGGAGACTGCGATAAAGAAATTTCCCAGAGCCCGTGGGTGCTCAAGCGTAAATTAGCGGCCCTTGAATTGAACCGCAAAGAGACCGGGCACCCGAACGCACCCAGCTCGATTCAGAGGGTAATACGTCAGCCCTTTGGCCCTGATGGCACCACTGGTTTTCAGCTCAGAGTGAGGCACCGGGAACAGCTCGACCTCCCTTGGAAAAAGTGACATTAACAGATTTATTTTAAAAAAAAATGTTTGAATTAAAAGCTGAGAAGCAAAAATATTTGCTTTGCAATAAACAGCACACGCTCTTTAAATGTTTGCATCTTGATTGTTAAGACCTGGTTCATTCGGGGTGGTGTGTAGTTATAAACCACTGACAAATGGGGGCAGCATTTAGCCACGTTCACACTTGTTCACACACACACTGCAAACGCAGCATATACATTGAAATCAGTACATTTCAGGGTCTTTACCTTACAATACAAAGCACCTTGAATCCTTGTTATTGTGATATGGTGCTATATGAATAAAACTAAATTGAACTGAATACATTTTAGCAGGAAGTTTAACATTTTAACCCAAACTCAGGATTTTAAGAGCTGGAATAAAAGTGTCTCCGAGTCTGTACACACCTCTTTTGAAACCTGAGTGGCCTCTGCACCTCTGGGGCCTCAGCCTGTCTGCTCACAACTGCAAATTGTATTGTATATTTGTTCTCTGGCAGGGATGGATTTACCTTTTTACCGCTTTCCTTAGACAGAAGGCTTGTCTTTCAACATGAAACACTCATAAAAGGCCCTCATTGTCTGAGTGCATCGTTTTCTGTTTAGATTTTGGTTCTCTAAAAAGCAGTTTTCCACTCGCCGAGATGACATTTGGCGAAAGGTTACTTGTCCAATCATCAAACCACGTCTTGTGCAAGATGTGCGTAGTAGCAACATTTGTGCCTTATTTCCAGCCTTTCTAATGACACCTCAACTGGAATGGTCTGTTTATAGTGTTACTGATTGAGGGCTTCCTTAAAATCTTGCCCAAAACTAAACAAAATGTGTTTCTTCACTTATCCACGCCTAGTGGAAAAGATTCAATCACAACGTGTATGGAATTCTATCATATTGAAATTGGAAACATGCTATGTTGCCCCCCCCCCTCGAGTATTCTCATGTGTCAGACTGTCTTCGTGACTAATGTAATCGTAACTTTTTGAGCGAGACGTTTTCGTGTATACAGATCAAGCCTTTCACTCGTACTGTATCTGCCTTGATTTAGCAATTAACAGCTGTTGGGTTTATACTGCAGCTGAGGCAGGTCTATGAAAACTTTACACATCTGTGAACAATATGTACAGAGTAGGCATGTTTCTGTCCGATGTTAGGAAATCTCTGTGTGCCGATAGCTCCTTTTTGAGGCTGGAAAAGCACAATATTCCCTGCTAGGTGGAAGTCATTATGTCTTTACATAGGCTGTTCAGGCCAGTTATTGAGATGTCTGTTAAATAAGTTAGTGTAATAATAATATTTTGCACCTGCCGCCTGTAATGAAAAGACGTTTTCTTTTTTCCATTCTTCATTTGTTCTATTGCTTTTCTCCAAGTTGCTGAGGGTTGTGTTAAAACGCGTTGCCTTAACCTTTGGGCTAAAAGAAATATCTACCCCTTCAGGTCACTGTGATAACAACCTTAGAATAATATCTGTTGATACACAAACGACACAAAGCTTTGGGCAAAGATTCCTTTGGTTTGTCCCACGCAACGATGAAGGAATTTTAAGTCTTAGAAATTTCACACTTGGCCACATCTCCGCCCCTCTAGTGGAGCTTTGATTTGTGTATAATTTGGCTCGAGGAAATCTGAATGACTCATGTTGTGAGAATGAGATATTTGTTAGCAAATAATTAGTTTCCTGTTGGTGTGCTGGCTTTATTACTGCGCTGCTTTATTTCACCATCTCCAGAAACGATTCTGGATCATACATTCTGTTTACCTGTAGGTTAATGCAACCCGCTCCACGACAGCACCTGTGAGGCTTCGCGTATCCCCTTCAGTTGTCTCCCGACTGATCGCCCTTTGTTTATACATCGCTGACCCCACACACCTGACGCATTTCCCCCTGTGGATAGGGTATTTATTTAGATTACAGTGTGGAGCGCCTGATACCTTCCAAAAACACAACCATCTGCTCCTCATTTGTCGCTCAAGGCTAAAATACTGTATTGGAGGGGATGTGGATGTGATCCTGAACAACAACATCAATGGGTTTATCTCCAGCCAGCTGTAGATTGGGTTATCATGAAATACCTCTGCTGTGATAATTCTGTTTACTCGGAGTTTATGTTGTCTTAGCCCCCTTTAAACCAATTGTGAACTTTCTTAATTCCCACTAAAAGATTGGAAGACACTCGTTTTAGCAGACCCCGCTAAACTGCACTGATCTGCCCATTTGAGGCTATTACCAATTGCCTGCTTAAGATGGCACGCTCTCTTGCGGCAGAAGGTAAATGTAAGCCTTTACTCAGGCCAAAGCATCCTTTAGTGCTTCTGGAGAGAGATTATCATGTCAGGAGTAATCCGACTCGGCCCACAAGCACAACTATGGAGGAGGAGGAGCATGAGTTGAAGGGGAAGGCACTCAGAGGCATCGGAGAAGCTCTGTGCTCCACTTACGGTAACTACACTCTCCCTCCTCACCCTAACCCATCTTCACGACCCGCAGAGTTGTTCTTGCTTGAGCTGAGGAGGAGACCTGCTGCTGGAAAAAAAAAAGGGTAAGGAAATGTGCATTATCCTTCATCGGTGTTGTTCCTTGGAGAAAAAAATAATCATAAGGCAATGGAAATTCACAGATATTCACAACAGATGTGATAAAAGTAAAGCAATCTGTAAGATCTGCTTATTACATGCCACCGTACCCTGGTTCTGCTCTGTTCTCCCATTTTAAGGTTCAAGTTTGCAAAGAAGACCACCAGTTCTGTACGGGGAAGCATCAAGACATGAGTTTTCTGAAGTAAAACTGACCACTCAGTGGCTTCTCTAAACATCCAGCTCTCCTCTTTTTGGATGGATCAGGCTGAATGCCATGAAATGCATGCTTATATTCAGAGGAATGCTGATTCTGATCTTTGCAACTTAAAAGATTTCTATGGAAGTGCAAATATGATAGAAGAATAATACACCCTTGGCTTGAATCAAGTCAGGACACCTCCCCTACTTGCAGGCACAGGGAGTTGTGATGATTTTTAGAAAACAAGCAGGAGTACTGTCCTCACTCCTCGCCTGTGATGATGATGGACTTACCCAGCCAGCACTCGCCTGTGGAGGTCAGCTGAAGACGACGCCACACAGCTAAGTCTGGATTAGCCGGCCGAACGGTAAGGACACCACATCTTCTTTTGTTAGTCTAAGCCAGCAGCTTATGAGGAAGGCGTTAGGTGCTGCTGACAGAGATGGCTCTCCAAGTGCTGGGGTGGCAGAAAACACACGTTATCCGTGTCAATAAGTGGCTCCTCGGTAGAGCCACATGACAATAGCGCACTACGGCCTGTCACAAAATGCTTGCAGAGCAGTAACCGCTCACTGGTCGCAAAAGGGGGTATCCCGTGTTGTTGGAAGAGCAAAAAGAAAAATAAATTAGCACTCTGAGTTTCTTGCAACCTCTCAACACTCAGAAGAGTTTATTTTGCGAGGGAGGAATATTTTTCTTTGCCTGTCATTTGCCCAACATGGTGGTTTGCCTCATTCTAAAGCATGAGTGCACTCCAAATACACGCTCCTTTAACAAAACTTAGTTCCCTACTTTGACTTGATAAGAAACTGGGATTTTGGCTAATTATTTTTTTGTATTAATCATTTCATTTACCTTTAAGAGTTTAAATAATTAAGAAGATCAGGATCACAATAGAGGCGCTTGATGACACTCATCCTTGGCATTTTTTACTGAACTGATGATCCCTTTTGCACTAAGCCCATATCATACATGGAGATTACACTGTATCTGGCTGTGCTCCGAGAGGAGGGATAGCGGCTAAGCCTAAAGTCAGTTGAGCTGTTCAACTTTCATAACCTCCCAAAGCTGCTCATAACTAGTATAAACTGATGGGGAAGCTGAACACACGTAATATTCCTCATTGCCTCAGTACATACGTGCTGCATGCATATAATGCAGACACTGCTAGCCTAAAGAAAATATGGTCAAAAAATGCAAAATTTCAACATATTTTGGATGTTTGTACTTGCTTGTGCTTGCTGGCGTGGGTCATACTCGAAAGTGGTATTCAGTGTGTGCCAGATGGCCGCCAGCCTTTTGTAAAAGCAATATCAACATGTTTAACATGGGTTTAGAGGTGATGTTGTTGTGCTAAAAGAGGATCTGACAGAGACAGATTAAGAGCCAGGATAGACTCTTTAGAAAGTAGCTGAGACGCACATAAAAAAAATAATGAGGCAACGTTGTGTTTCTCTGCCAAGAATAATGCAATCGCTTCACATCAAAAGGGTGATTCAAATGTAATGTGTGCACTGCACTTGGACTCTCTCCTCCCATAACAGCACAGGCCAGAAATACTGAGACAGGTGTCAAATGTGCATCTTTAAATCTACCTTCACCTCACTCCTCAATAATCCTGCTTTAACAGCAATAGGTATGAGTTGTGCGATTCCGTGCTAAGCCGTTGGGTCACTGGATTAATCCGTATCTAATCCTGGGGACCTGATAGTAGGCCTTCTAAAATAAAATTGAAACTTTTTAAGCCACTTACCCAAATCCAGTGGACGAAAAAGGATACCAGAATCGTGTTTAAAATTCAAAGAATGTGACGAAAAATTGTCACAAAATAGCTCCCCTTTTTGCTCAATAATGAACACCAGCTTTCTAGCTAACAAGGAACAGGCTTGTTTTGATTATCCCATGGTCTCTGAGTGACAGAGCACGAGCCAACCGATGTGGCTACCAGCAAAATTACACCACAGGCTTTTTTTGGTTGCATTAGAACCGGGGCCGGATATAGAACAGCCAATCCTGGCTCTGAAATCCCACTTTATTTTACAACCTCTTAGCCCACCCTGGTGCCACCACAACAAAGCTGACTCACCAAGTTTGTCACTTTTCTTCTTCATTATTCTGGCATTTTGTAGGTAGGTTGGGATTTAGTGGTGGAAGAGCCTGCAGGTGCTCATTCTCTGTGGACCTTGCATGCTGGCCTAACCTCTGAGCTAGAGGTGTGTGACGGATTAATACGGACACACACACAGAGCGAGACCTGTGCTCTGCCACCAACACTGCAGCCAGGTGTTAACCCACGTGACTG